CAGATTCAGACCAGTGCGCATGCGGTTACGGCCGCCAAACCGTACGCCACGTCCTACTCGAATGCAGAGATTGGGCGGATGAAAGAGACAAATGGTATACAGTGAGGGCTGGGACGCATGCACTAGCACACATTATATACTAGGTTATGCGACGTACTAGGACATAACACGAGGCCTAAGCATCTGATAGTTGCTACTAAAGACACCCAACCCAGTTCGCACATATTTCGCCGCGGCCCGCTGCACCGCAGACGGTTCTGCTAGGTCTACCTGCACCTCATGCTGCGTCCTCCACTCCCCGTTCTGTAACACATACTGCTAAAGGAAGGGAAAAGTTTGCCCCATCTAAGTCGAACCCATCACGCAAATCTGAATCGTGCTGCAGTCCCAAGAACGCGGAGAAAAATCCCGTTGAAGCTGTGCTCTTTTGTCCCAGTCCCTCAGTGCCGATGGCATCCTCCAACCCTGTACCGCAAAGCGTCTGCTCAGTCATGATATTTGGCTCCACATTGTGTAATGGCCCCTTGCGTGCCTTTACATCAAATTCTAGACTCCACCCACGACCTAGATAGCGTAAGACGTGTGGTGCCTGCTCGGCAAAAGAATGGTTTGGAGCCATTTCTCTGAGATGTGCGGTTCTGAGTCTTAATGCTTCGTTGACGTCTGGAGTTGGTGAGACCGATACCTTGCCGTGATCTAGCTCCGTAACCACGGTAGAAATCGCCAGATAAATTGTAGCTGACACAAAACTAAAGAAAGGCATGAAAGTCGGTGCCCTGCGCAGGGCATAGAGCTTTGAGTAGGAGCTGACTAACGCTGCATGGCATCGGCCGCCTGGAAACAGATTTTCAGAGGGATGACCCCTGATCCAATGAGGCGGACTCGCAAGAAACGGTCGAAAGAGTAGAAGAACAGAGAGATGATAGTATAAACTAGCAAATTAGCATTTCCACAGGATCTAGAATAGTCCTATACCTACTAAATGAATATGACCGCAGGCGTTGAATTGTGACCTAGTCGCATGACCTCTGGCAGCTGATCATACCAGTCTAAATATAGGTGATAGTTTTGGAGCAGATTTGCAGCTGTTAAAGATTTGATAGGCGAGTAAAGAAGGTGTAAAGATTCATGAACTGTTTCGTTCAGCTCGCAAATGTTAATACAGAGACCGTGCATTCGAGAGTTGAATATCTGGTTCTAAATACACGTCTAAACAAGAATGAGGCTGTGAAAAGTAAACATGGTGTCTGAGAAAGTCACTTACCACCGTCCGCATATGGGGCCCACGACGACGTCTTAAAGTCGGTAGCAATTACTGGCATGGGTGGGCGGTGCAGTGCAGGCAAGCAGTGTGGCAGCTCACCCTTTACCATCGGCCATGCACTATGTTACTTATTAATGTCTCCTTCAGCCCTGCGGAGTTTGATCGGAACTTACTGGTCGAGTGTAAATGTTCCCCATAATGTTTTTGCGAGGACATCAGGCTCAATGGCGCAGTGTTCCTCGCGTACATTGTGCAGACCCATTGCAATAGCAAGCTGCATAGCATTTTCTGCGTAGTATTGACTCTCCAAGAATTGACCACAGCGAGCCTCTCGTATAGACATTATCACTAGGGGCTGAATAGTAGTTACTTGGTGATGGTCCGGTGTTAAAAAACGGATGCGCCGCGACTAGCTAAAAAAATTATTGCTGATGACGGAGATGTTGTCAGCAGCGTCCAAAGGTCGATCGGAGAGATGACAGCCCAATGCAAGAAGTGCATTGACTAACATCGGCGAGCAGTATTGTTGTCGTGTATCAATAAAATCCCGAAGAAAATGTTCTTTGCTAATTGGCGCAAGATTGGGGTACTCCCAGCAGAAATAAAGAGCTAACATATGTCGAATAAATTTCGCGTCGCTGGTAATGCCGGTCCAAGCCATCGCAGAGTCTAATCGGAGCACGAGTACTACCCGCGATTTTCTCATCGGAAGTATTGCTGCCGGCATCCGCTGGGCGCTGCTCAACGGGCAGTAGACGCTGTAGCAGACTTGATAATTCTTGCATCTTTAAACAATGCCAAGTACGTCTGTCTTAATTAAGACATAATGCCTGGCATTCACTAGTAAGATCATCCCGAGAATCGCTGTGTGGAAGCCTTTGCGGGGCACTTAGTGAGCCGTATGAACCGATCGATCTCGAAGCTTATTATCTTCTTATTCCACTAAAACAATTATATTTGCCTAGAACTAAGATAACAACGGTAGTGACAGGAACCCGTTTTGGCCGGCCGAGCTTAAACCCCAGTGGGGAACTCCTTGCCTCGACCAGAAACTATCTCTAAATGCAGAAACGGCAGCACTAGATGATATCGGATGATGCGCATCTAAACGCACTGCGCCTTCACCGGCTGCAACTCCCGACTGCTGGTCCTCCGCAGCACCGTATAAAGTCATCTGTGAAATACCCAGGAACATTTCTGCAATATATACCGGTCCAAATCCCTCCATTAGGTCCACAGCAACCTCGAGACGGTCCAGATAAGTTGCAGCCACAGTCGTATTCGAGAGCGGTTGCCCCACCGGCGATAGCCAGAACGGCGGTGGCGAAGAAAAACTTCATTTTTATTGCGCTAGTTTGTATTGTAGTGTAAAGATAGGCAAATGGTGGCTTTATGAGGCGGTTGGAAGGGGTCACGATACGTGTCGCAGTGGTTTCTTCTGTTTTTTTATTCTTTCTTGCTCTTTATATAGCTATAAATGACATACAACTGGATTAGTTTTGAGATCTCCTCACGTGAAGGTTGTCTCAACTAACAAGTGGACGTTTGTTAAGGCCGTCGCTGGAAGCAAGACGTACCTAATGCGTACAAAACCCGGGTGACTTGAGTCAAAAGCTCAGACATGCCTATGCATGTGCCGCACACTAAGCTCACCAAAGTAGCACGTACCTACTACGAGCACAATCCGGACACTCGGTGGACAAAAAAGACCGCTGGTACCCTCCGTTCTCCGTCTAGCAACCCTTGAAACCTCTGAACCCAACCTGGCCAGTGACTGTGATCCCAGGAATGATGGAAGACGGAGACCGTAGCGAGGTGTACGGAAAGGTTGGTAGCCTTCATAGTCGAACGCGTCTCATATGCTGTAAGCCACAATTCCGTGATTACTTTCACACAGGCTTGTCTTAGACATCGGTACTGAAGCCGCGAAGCTGTGGTATCCTGGTGTTTGGCGCCGAGTGTCGGCCAGCTATAATCAAATGAAGGACGGCCGTTTGCTTTGCTCATGAGAATGAATGGCATCCTAATGGAATTGTCATATGATCCACTAGAAGGTTGAGCAAAGGTGTGATCGTGAGATGAAACGGCTATTTCGAACCTGAAGGAGTACACTTCTGGTACAAGATTTGAGGTATTTTCCTCAGAAACATCAGTGTCGTAACTTTCGCATTCTCGGTGTAGACTGGCTGAGATAATTGCATGCTGACCGCTAGTCAAGCCATCATCAGACGAGACAAGTATCTTAGTGTTTCGTTTGGGGCGCACATCTTAGCAGCGGTCTCATTCACCATTTAGTTGCCCGTGTCAGTTGCAATTGCTTCCTCTCACGAAGCCACGACTTTGTTGTCTTGGCGCTTGACGGATAACAAGACCTGCGCAAGCTGAAAAGTGCAATGTACCGGGCCCGACACTCTGTGCGACAACAGCCACGCAACGGCTCGCGGTCTCAGTGACAGTGTCATGCATGGTACTATCGTGCTAGGCATAATGGTCCGAAAGATTTGTGTGCACCCGGCGCGATCAGAATACGTGACTTATGAAACCTAGATCGCTTTTTGATCAACCAAACCAAGCAAAGTTACCCACTTTCTTGTACAGCTCAGAAAAGACGGTGTAAATCCATGTCCGCCATGTCTTGCTTGATGAGTACTCAAGGAGTGTCTAGCAGCGATCCTTTCGCGGCTAAACGATTTTAATGTGAAGTTATGCAGCTAGAGGTATCCAAAAAGCATGTCTCGCTGCGGAACTGCAACTTGGCCTGCATTTGTTACCGACTGCAGCTCCTTGCTACGTGGCTTTGTATTCAATGAGGCATGTCCCTTTAAGTCGTCATCGCTGTGTTAAAAAAGCAGGTCGAGCGAGCCGTGACATCCCGCGGCAGCCAGGCAAGTGACTAAACGAAGAAAAGAATAGAGGAAAAGCTATTAAGCTTATGCGTTATCCTAAGAAATACTATTCCCAGGCACCACAAGCAATTCTGAGCTGTAATTAGGACGGAACAACGAAACGTGGCCTCATTTCTTGTTTGATCATCGTGAGATAGCACGCTTTTTACACAATGGCAAATATTCAACTCGGCACCGTGTTACTCGGCGCCGCAGTTCCACATAACGATCGTATTAAGCCTTTGCCTTTCAGAGGTCGTCGTGAAATCTTCCATCCTAGCAGGCGATACTTTTAAGCAGGTCTAACACATATTTGGGCTTGGACAAAAAGTGATATTTTTGGCAGCCGAGCACGGATATGAATCATTAATCCACCTTCTTACGACACCGAATGTCGACCCGGTATTGGCCGATGACGGGAACATGCAACCTATTGTGCATGCCCTCCGCAATGGTCACACTTCGGTAGTCAAGATTCTGATGGCATCAGACAGAGTCAGAGCCGACGTCGGTACATTGTTTTAGCTTGCGTGCAAATTTCAGAGTCGTGAAATGCTAAAGGAACTGATGGAACTCGAAGAGGCGGATTGGAGCGCCACTGATGCGAAAGGGAACACTTGGCTACATTCAGCAGCCAGTCATGGCCTCGCAGATATCGTGAAGACTTTGATAAGCCAGCAGCATATTAACATCAACGCGCAGAGGCTCGATGGGGCAACGCCTTTGATCTGTGCCCTTGAAAACAAACGAAGAGCCATCATTACAGTCTTGTTGCGGGCCAGCGCAGATGTCAACATTGCTACCCATGATGGTCGTTCACCTCTCTTCTACGCTGCCGAGAGCAGCAGTCAGACCTTATCAGAAGAACTGCTGGAAAACGAGGCAGTCATGTCGGTGCAGTCACGGATACAGGCGCCACAGCGCTACACCATGCTTGTGAATATGGGATGAACAAGGTCGTCCAAGTGCTCCTCAATTATAGAGCTGATCCGCTGCTCCGTGATGAAAAGGGGAAAACACCTCTTCTTGAAAAGAGACTGCTTCACGTATCACCAGTACTGCAGCATTTGCATCGCCGTTTACCTGTCAAGGTTGACACAGAGTGCTGAAAAAAGGCTGTCTCTTACCAGTACTGCAGCATTTGCGTCATCGTTCACTAGTCAAGACAGGGACAAAGTGCTGGAAAGAGGCTGTCTTTTTACCAGTACTGCAGCATTTACATCACCGTTTACCAGTCGAGGGAGGGAAAGACTGCTGAAAAGAGGCCGACTTTACCAGTCCTGCAGCATTTACATCACTGTTTACTAGCCAAGACAGGGACAGAGTGCTAGAAAGGGGCCGTCTATTATCAGCACTACAACCTCTAGCACTGTTTACTAGTCAAGATCTAGGCAGATTTCAGAAAAAGAGACCCTCTCTTACTATTATTGCCACATTTTTAGCTCTTTTTAGAAGTCTTTAGCGGATAGAGTGCTAGAGAAAAGCTACTACTTACGGGTAATCCTCTGACCATTCACCGTCGTCGCAGCGCTAGCTAATAATTGATAAGGAAGTTTACTTCTAAATAGAAAATAAAATTAATAATCGGTAGGATTTATTTATATTGGTAAGTATTTCGGTGTAATTACTAGGATTAACTTGCTATAAAGTGCTACTAACGTCTACTAGCACTAGTAGCCACTGCTACTTAAAATAACTGATTATAGGTAATTATAGCTGAATTGGTATAGTTAGCCTGTACTGATAACCACTAACCAGCATAAACAGACAGCCGCACTTACTTGCATTGATAACCGCTCTCCCACCCCGACTAACTTCATGTTCTGGTTTGAAGACGTCCCCTCCTAAAGGCAAGCTGTTCAACTCCACCAGAGTACCCTTGTCCTTGGTGCAGTATCCCAACCCCCCCTTCTAATCTCTTACGGTCGTAGAGTTTAAGTGATCGCTTTATGATTTTAGCTGTATTATTTAAAAGTGCAATGCAGGCAGGGATTATAGCTTGCCAGGCCTTTGTATTTCTCCATCACGAAGCCTCTGCCCTCGCCGCGCAGTATCGCTGTTAAATTTATCAATTGGCAAGGCTGCCTTTCCGAGTTTCAAGGCAAAAATCTTTGGGCGTCCGCCTAATAGCTCGAGGTTAGACCGTTTCCTGGACCAATCAGCGTCACATTCGATCAAAATGACCTTAGAAAAGAAAAGTCTGGCGTACCATGTTGATGCGAGTCGGACAATGGTAATCCTTAGTTGAGCAGTAGTCATAGTGCCAATGTTGTCGGCGCACTTATACGTAAAGTCGGCGCCGTACCGACGACTTAGTTAATCGCATCTTCTTATTGAGCGATACGTCGCTCTGGCAAAATTCTCACCTGTTCTATCA